GGAAATTTACGTTCTAAGGTCGATTTAAGAATAATAATAAGAATAATAATTTATTTGCTAGAATATGGTACAAAAATGTTATGGTGGTACAATCTAAAGTTCGCAAATTATGCCACACATATTTGTCTTAAAAGGTAGAATAGAAGTTACATTATGAGTCAATTCTTATATTATTTTATCACTACATCGTCACATTATTAAATTATATTATTACGTTATCAATTAATATTAACTTTAATGTTTCACGCAAATAATCATTAATAGAATAATTTTTTAAAAACTCTTGTTGGTCTTTTTGGTAAATATTATAAACCTTGATTGCCATATATAATATAATATATAAAGGTGTTTTTCCTATACATTCCCAGATGAATTTTTGGCATAGCCAATTTCTTTCCATGTCTAATTCAACAGTGGTCAATTCCCGTTGACTTCAAAATATTTATGTTTTTGTGAACGAATAAGAAATAACGTAGTCTGTATAAACGTGTGCGATGGCATTTTTTGATTAATTTTTGGTGGATACTTTAAAACCGATGTACACGCAGAACAATAAGAAGTCGGCAATAAAGACAAGACGATATTTACTTTTGTTGATTATATAAGGTTAAAAATTTAAAAATTGTGTCCACTCATCCCCCTGGGCAGGCCTTTGTACGATGTTTTTAAAAACGTTTTGAGCAATACGTTTGCCTCGTTGCCCTTCTTAACAATTATTTAAACATATTTTAAGTTAAAATAACCTTATAACCGCAAGGCAATTTGAGTAGATTTAGGGTAAAAATTCTCTTACGTTTTTATGTATTAAATGATGATAACCTGGCTTCCCAACACAAAATTAATGAAATGCCCTAACCGGTTGGAGAGCTAACACAGGTCGGAGGTATTCGGTGAATTCGACCCACAAAAATCATCTCATCTATGAAAACTGTTACTGGAATCTGTGCGGACAGAGAACCGTTGTGGGATTTAAGGTTGGACCTGTGCTAATTTATACTTTTTGTTATGTCATTTTGGCGCGTTGGGGAAAAATGATGAGAGTAAATTTTTACGACACGCGCACACCGTCACAAAAACCGACATCCTGAACATCTGTTCAAACGTCGGTAAAACAGTCTGGGCCGCTAGTTGGCGCTCTGTTTCATCGACAAGTTGCATTGTCATGGCGTAGTGTTTTTCAGAGTCGTGTTTATTTAAACCGAAATAATGATTTCTATACGAGAAAACCCGTTCCAATGAGATAAAAAACATAGTGTTTATTGTAAAATATCATGTTTAGTACATATTATATCGTTTCGAATGGAAGTAGCCATTAAAATGGACAAGAAATATTCAATTCGAAGAGGGAAACGTCCCTCTAAAATGCTCGAAGAAAATTATTATGCAAAGAGGTATTAACTCATAACGCGTACTTATACTAAGTACACACACGTTTGTTTTTTATGGAAAAGGAGGCAACGGACAGGAAGCTCACCTGATGTTAAGTGTCACCGCCGCCCATGGACATTCTCAATGCTAGAGGGCTTCCAGTGGAAGATTTGCTAGCAACAAATAGCATATAAGTATATTTTTACTTAAATTTATGTAATACTGTCGCGGGCACCAGGCCCGCAACTTCGTCTGCGCAGGATTCGAGTAGCTTATATTAGCGTGGCATAGAAAAGAACTCTCTTCTTATTTCTAATTTACATAAATGACCTCCCATTCTTTGTCAACGAAGTTCATGAGATGGTATTGTTTGCTGATGACACTTCACTTCTATTTAAAGTGAATAGGAATAACGTATTATTGGACGATGTAAACAATTCTATCTCTCGTATAGTTAACTGGTTTAATGTAAATAACTTACTGCTTAACGAGAATAAAACAAAATGTATTCGATTTACAACTACTAGCGTAAAGCGAGATATTGGTAACCTGAAAATAAAGGACAGTGAACTAAACTTTGTTGACAAAACTGTTTTTCTAGGCATAACAATAGATAGTAAACTCCAATGGGGCCCACACATGGATACTCTTTCGAATAGGCTGAGCTCTGCAGCATATGCAGTAAAAAAAATCCGACAGTTTACTGATAAGGACACGGCAAAAATTGTTTATCATAGCTACTTTCACAGCGTTATGTCGTACGGTATTCTACTGTGGGGTGCTGCTGCAGAGGTTCAATCCATATTTGTGCTGCAGAAGCGGGCTGTTCGGGGTATTTGTTGTGTTTCTCCGAGGGAGTCGGTACGGAATAAGTTTAAGGAATTAAATATTATGACACTATCTGGTCAATATATTCTTGAAGCCTTGTTGTATGTCCAAAAAAATATAAACGATTTTAAAACAAATGGTGACTTTCACCAGTATAATACGCGAAATAGAACTAATTTGAGTGTAAGACCAACCAGGCTCCAAAAGATAAACCACTCCTTATATGGAAATTGTATTCGTTTTTACAACAAACTCCCAAGCGAAATTAGAGTATTATCACTAAATAAATTCAAAGCCCTCGTTAAACGAAAATTAATCAACAAAGCTTTTTATAAATTTGAGGACTACTTAAATGACCTAACCTTGGGATTGAATTGCTCCAGTTCAAACAATTTGTATGACAATACTTGGCGATTAAAAAGAGTGGCGGAAAGTTTCTTGCCAGTTCTTCTTACCTTCTTACTTAATGTAAATTTACGATTAATTTAACTTGACGATTCAAAAGTGTACTTGGTTACCCACTTGAATAAAGATATTTTGAGTTTGAGTTGAGTTTGAACTAACATTATGACATTAAAATTATCACATAAATAATTTTTGGGTCGCATTTGAAAAATATATCAGCGTGACAATATTGATATGGTACAGTCGCAGTATAATAACATATTAATATTGTCTATTGAAATACGGTAACTAAGCAGTATGCTCCTATAGACTATATTTAATGTTTTTTTTCCTTCAGCAAAAACAGGCAGATTTTTCGCTTTGGAAACAGCTCGCAGATGGTATTTTTTTTCCAACCACTTGATATTATGGACAATTCACACAATATTGTAGTAAATTTGCACAAAATGTACATGCACAATAAATTGTATAAATTGTAGCCTATGTGTTATACTGATGCATATTATTGTAAAGTTTCATTAAAATCCATTCAGTAGTTTTTACGTGAAAGAGTAACTTCCATCCATACTTACAAACTTTCGCGTTTATAAAAACTACATTTACATAAATGTTCTACATTTTATCAATATAAATAAATAAAATAAAATAAAAAAGCCTTTTTATTTCTTGCAAAAGAACAAAGAAATCTTACTATTATATATATATATGTATTTTTAAGAAAATAAATTACAATTTTTTTGCTACTTTCTCAGTAAAGTATTGATAACCGTGCATGAATGAAACGCGATGTAATGCTTCGCTTCTCCGATCAAAGGGTAACATGCATTAATTAAAAATTAATTTGCCCGTAACGACTCTCCTTTTAACAATATTATGAATTGGATTTTTAAATGTTTATTTTCCTATATTAATTGTATTTTTTTATAGAACAAACGGGCTCATCTGATGTTAAGTGATACCGCCATGGAGACTCAATGCCAGAGGGCTCGCGAATCCGTTGCCTGTCTCTTAGGAATTAGTACTTTCTTTTCTTGAAGGACCCTAAGTCGAAATACTTTAGTGAGAGGTTCCTCAGTTCCAGTGATGGTGTGCGCCAAAAACTGCCTTAAATAAGGTTCAGTTTCGAAACGACCGATGATGAAAGTATGTCACGTGATAGTGTATCACATAAGTATTTGTTTGACTAGAAATGCAGTGTTGTGTAGTCACGTAACTGAGTTGGATTATGCCAAGTCGCAAACGTATTATCTGTATTGAAATTGTATTACGATCTCATCCTTATCGAGATACGCAATCAGGCAAGGAATATTGAAGTGTGTCACGATGATAATTTTTAAAAAAGTTGATCATTGTTTCAAGATGAAGCAGGTTTTGTTGATGAACTGAGGTAAAGTCTTACTTTTTTTTTTACAAGTATGTCAGTGTATCAGAGCAGTGTTGGCCTAGTGGCTTCAGCGTGCGACTCTCACCCCGGAGCTCGTAGGTTCGATCCTCGGTTTTGCACCAATGGAGTTTCATCCTATGTGCGCATTTAACATTCCCTCGAATGTCGAAGAAAAATATCGTGAGGAAACCGGCTTGCCTTAGACCCAAAAAGGCGACGGCGTGTGTCAGGCTGATCACCTACTTGCCTATTAGATTGAAAAATAATCATGAAACTGATACAGAAATCTGAGGCCCAACCTGAAAAGGTTGTAGCCCCACAGATTTTTTTATGTCAGCGTTTCAACATATAAATTTTTTTTATATACCTTATGTAAATTGGTGTTGAAATGAGAAAAACTTAAATTTGCATGAGGTTCAAGGACACAGTAGTAATAAAAACTGCGTGAGGAGAAAATTCTTGTCACACACGTGTCGTGTACCTAATATCCGCTTTTATTTATAAGATTTTTTTTTATACGCATACTTTTACGTATAAGGTTAATTTAAGAAGTATGTTAAATGAAACACGCCAGTATTTTAAATAATATTTATTTAATGTTTTCATACAAAGAAATGTTTACCACCATTTTACGTTACATGAATACAAAAGCATACAGTGACTACACGAAAATAATTTTATAAATATTTGCAGTGTTTATTCACAATACCTAACTAAGCACATTAAACCTTATAATTAACCGCACAAAACAACACTTCTTAATGTGGGCTCAACATTACGCGTTATTATCAGCCGATCTATAACAAAAATAACATTTAGACATTACTGTAGCGATCGGGTGATTATAAAGCGATGAAGTATTGTTTTGTTATAAATCTTTTTACAAATACCAACATTTAAAACGACACTAAATAAACATCTGATATGTCTAATAGTAATAGACAATATTTACATGTTTCTACAGCTTATACAACAGATTCGTGAAACAGTTACGTCATGTTTGACAATTGACACTTTAGAGTACTGTTTCGTTTGTACACGTTCTAGGACCATTGACAAGAGAATACCGACTCGAACCGCCATTTCGGCTTGTAACAGCGCCTCTTATGAACAATTCCTTAAATGTCTCTCTAAATTGTCGAGACATACCGCAATAAATGGCGAAATTTATCGGATAAGAAAGAATAATACAGAAATTCGTTACCAATATTAATTTATTTGCTATGTCGTAGTCGAGAATTTCGACTAGGGTGCTAGATATAATGTGAAGGATTGTGACCACAGCTACAGGAATTTCAACCAGAAGAAATACAGTTACAACCACGATAAGCATAAGTGTGGTACAGTTGGAGTCGCTAAGTCTTTTGCATTCGTTTTTCCGACTTTCTTTGAATAATTTCTGTCTATTGACTTGAGCTGTTCTCATAGCTCTGAATAGAAGCACATTAAGGACGACGAGGGACGTACAGGGAATCAAATGGACGAAGAGTACTCGAAAGGTGAAATACGCCGTGAAGTAGCCATCTACAGATATTTTGTACAGCCAAGGCGCCAGTTTTCCCTGCAAAAAAAAATGTTATTAATATCAAGATAGTAACAAATAGCAACTTTTTCAGAATCATTTACTCAGTCATAGTTTAAGGGCCAAACGGTCCAGTTTATGTTCCGTCACGTGGTCATGGTACAAAACATATAAATTAAATAAACGAAATCTGATTAGGATACCTAAACTGGGTAGTTTATTGGACGTCATGGTATGAATAAGCGATACATTTCAGTTGTATGTTGTCATGGTAGACCCTCAGGTAGTCGTGAAAAGATTTAGCAGATTTTTGGTATTTTTTACATGATTCTTAGTTCGTGTAATGGTAATGTAATGTTCCCAATCCACATGAAGATCCTTCCCTTCCCGAATTAATACGATGATTCGTAATAACCGGGCGTTATATTTTAAGCTATCTCACATCTCATCTGATAATATTTGTTCTAACCTCAAAAAGCCTCTCGCAAAGCCTTGGAAGATGCGTAAAAATTAAATAATACCATCATAAAGTCTGCTTAGTATTTACCACAATATAAGTTTCCGGCTTGTAACCAGAATAATTTCCTTAATAGAATTAAAGTACAGTTTATTACTTGCGTTGAATATCCTGAGGGTATTGTGAGCGTATTATGCACTAATGCGAGACAGCATAATTAATTTTACTTAGAGGTGATAAATTTCAGTGTCGCGTTGTACACAGTAATAAATTCCAAGATTAATTTTTGTCCATTTTACTTGTTTACGAATGATTTAGTTATATGCAGGAGAATAGAAGAAATCTTAATAAATACGTCGTTATTGATCATAAGATCAATTTATTAAATATAAATTTGCTGTTAAAGTAGCGAAAATATTAATAGTATAGTAGAATTCATTCAATGTTTTTGTTGTTGCTTAAATTGAGAGTAACTTAAACTATCTTACTTAAAATGCATTTATTACTATATATAAATTACTTGTGTAGAAAAATATTAAAAAAAAAACACGGAAGATTCTAAACTTACTTACTTGTTTTAATCATGGTCGTAGAGCCAGCGCGAAGAACTGGCAAGAAAAACTCAGCCAGTCTTTTTAATTTTTGGTTTACAAGCAAAATTTATGAAACTACATCGTGATTTTTATGGCGACACAAACAGTTTATTTCGCTAACATAAAATACATATAACAAAAATCAAATATACTAAAGATATAGCTTTGGACGGAATACATAACACATATAAAAAGGTTCAATATTACGAAAGGAAAAATTCAATAAAAATTGTTAAATACATTTAACAAAGTAATACCGAATTCGGCTATCTTGTGTAATGGTGTGAAAATAAAGGCAAGTACGTGATGGTGTGTATGTAGGGTGTGCTTATGATGCAGGGTATTTAGCTCTATGAATATTTGTAATACTCATATTAAGCATATTCCGCGGTAACTTCAAAGGTTATATATTGGTCGTTTTATATGCGCAATACAAGACTAAGTTACATTAAAAAAAACGTTAAATAATTATCAGGTTTATGAATATTTTATATAATTCAACAACAAACTTAACCTTATTTCATAGCTTTCATCCTGTTTTAATATTACTTAATTATAATTTGTTATTTACTAACAAAACAAAACAGTAAAAAGAAAACTATTAGACAAATGTGTAGGATTAATCCTACAAAGCTAAATTTCTGCTCCATTTGTACAAGATAAGTTTAGATCGGGCATGTGAACAGCAAAGCTTTAGAAATTTATACGTTTATGCCTGCAGCTAGCAAAGTAGAGTAAAAGATCTGTGTAAGATTATATTCCTTTATTGTGATACTCGACTGGAGTCTTCTCCATAGCATCGTAGGCCTATGTGTATGGTTATATTTGCCTAACAAAGTACTGAATGAAATTGGATTTGATGTTCTTGTTTTGTAGGTTAAAATATATACTTTGAGATGAGATTGTTATTAAATAGCCGATCACACAAGACAGTTTTGGCCTCAGTAAGATATATCTACTTTCTTGATCATGTTTTCTTTATAAGCTTCTCGACAACATATTCATTTTTTCGGTCTAAGGGCCTTATCATACTAGCGGATTGAGAGCGGCTGCGGGGCTGGATGGGCGCGCAGCGAATCCGTGGCGGCTGAGCCGCGCATGCGCAGCGAATTCGTTGCGGACGCGCAGCGAGACCGCCGCAAATAGCAGCGTAGATGCCATTTTGTACAGTCTCGTACAAACGCCGTGTCGGAGTCACAGCAAATTCATAGAGAATAAAGAAATACTTTTTGTATTTAAAATATAGAGCGCCGCTTTGACACGGCTTTATCATCCTTATATGTTTGCAATGCACCTATGCAATTAGGAAAATCAGCATTTTCTAGAAAGCCTTTACTAATGTTTTCTGTCTTTTGTTTTCTTGGGTGGCATACAAATATGAAACAAGTTTTTAATAATAGCTTGACATTTCCACGAACAAATTTTTTGTATTGTTGAAATTCCATTTTGTATTGTATTGTACGTCGTTAACTCGCTGCGCGTCCGCAACTATTATTCATGTATTTTTGAACAATATCATAACAAATATTATATACATATAAACATCGGCCTTACTAAGCGATCTCTTTAAATGAAAATAAGCGTGAATAAATTCAAGAGTGCGAAAATTAGGTTTTGTAATATCTTGTTCACATTTCCTTTACTATATCCATGTTTATACATGGCGTATGCCTGTGATATACAGTCCTTATCGTATTGTATATCGCTTATGAATTTTGCAGGAACTTGACACGTAATGGGACTTGCTATGCATATCGCCTCTTACCTAGGCTTCACCTTAGCAGCTTACAACATATATTGACACACAAAATTTTCTTTATGACCTTTTTTTTTTATGGCTCTGGCACGATTTGTGCATTAGCCAGCGTCAAGTATTTATGACCTTTGATCTGACATTTTCTGGGTATAATTTTGTTTGTTGTGTTAGGTCAGCGTTCTGTGCCTTCAAAACATAAACAATTGTTTTTGGTAAATAAACCCTGTACGTTATTTGTCACCCGCAGTAACTTTTAAATCATGAGTAAATAAATAACACTTCATACTAATGCTGTAAAGAACAAAGTCGTACAAACTGAAAACTTCGTCAATGTGTAAAATCTTTGATTTATGAGAAAATTTTAATAAAATTCCACGCTTTGTTTACGTAACTTATTTTTAAGTACTGTAAACTTTCTGTGTCAAGAATGAAACAATTTCAATAGTAAATAATGTTCGATTATTTATTGCGCACGACAATTCGTAACAAATGTGTAAACTATGTTCATTATGTCCTAAAGACAAAGTATATTGATATTTCAATAATTGAGAAGTAGCAGTTAATGTAAAATTAGAAGCATTTAATATATATTTCTTTTTTAACGTTCATAAGTGTACATTGTGTTACCTATATGAATAAATAATTTTGACTTTTTTTCTATTTTGCAATCAGAGAATTACTACACTAAAGAAATAGCCCGCATTTCTACACCAATAAATAGCTTTCAGGAGCTTTGTCGAGAATGTTGATAGGCGGTATCATTCGCAGCGGCGAAAGCTTTGTTTCGCAAAAAGCTTTTTCCAAAACTATAATGTTAAAAAACGATAAAGTTATAGCAACGATACGAGACATTTACATATATTTTTGTTATTTACTCGCGTTTGTTTTATTTGTGCTACCAATGAGCGTTTAATTCAATGTCAACCATCTGATTGCAGTAGCACATGAAGCTTAATACATTTGTTGATATTCTTACCTCTTAGCTAGCTCACTGCGCTGTTTGTTTAACTTTGTTTTTATATTTTGCAATTTAAATTCCTTTTTACCTTTGCGTCTAATGTATTCGTAATGTAATGTGGATGTTTGATCAAATAACTTAATATTTCACAACGACCTGTATTTGCTGGTATAACGTACAATTGCGCCTTAAAGCCTGAGTATGAGCGCACTTAAGGCCCTATCCCAGCACGAATTGCTGTGCCAGTGTCTCGGGGTGGACTGCGGCACGCAGTGGAGGCGCGTCGCGTCGGCCCATAATAACAATTAGTTATGTAAAACATTAAATTAATGTAATTTTATCATTTTTTTTTTCTGAAATGGATTACTTAGCTTGCGATTAAATATATCGTGTAAATTTCAAAATTATGTTCTATATACATTTTCGTCATAAAATGAATTCAAAGTGTTAAAAATTGGCTATGTTTGGATTTTTTTTCTATCGAGCGAAGTTATTTAAATCGTGTATCGATCTTTCAAAATGGATACATAAACTACTCAACTCCACCATATTTTTTTTCCATTTGCCCTACTTCAAGAAACGATGACGAAAAATGGAAAGAAACAATATACTTTTTTGGAGTTTGGCGATAGGATAGGTCCTTAACAAGTACGGCGTAAGAGGTAACCGGCTTGCCTTAGATTCAACTAGTTGACGTGTTGGCCACAGAAGGCTGATCACCTAATTACGTACTAAAAACAAATGATCACAGAAATCTGTGGCCCAGACTTAAAGTTGTAGCGCCACTGTTTCATTATGTTTACGTTTTTATGACTAATTAACTAAATAAATAATCTTACATTGTTTTAAAACCATTGTTTAAAATTTTTTAGCAATAACCAGACGACAATATAATAAAAGCGAAACAATAAGTTAATAATAATAAGTTTCCGTTCATTATTGCTCAAGTGGAATGGTAGATCGTGTCACTTTTTTATAGAAATATAGGGCAAATGGACAGGAGTTTTATCTGGTATTAAGAGATACCGCCGCCGATGGACGCTCTCAACGCCAGAGAGCTCGCGAGTGCGTTGCTGGCCTTTGAAGAAAGTCGAATTACGCTTATCTGTCATTGGCCTAGAGATATTCTATAGTAATGAAACGAAAGGCGCCATCATTTCATCTTTCGTAACACAATTTAACCCCTAGGCGCAAACATTGCAAGTTTGATCCAATAAGTATTAATATCCATAAGTCGTATATCAGTATTATTGCTATCATAAATACGTTATTGCT